ACGCACATGCATGTACAGTACACGGCTATCCTAAAATATAAAGACAAATGTGATAGAAATTAAAAAAAGATATCCCCAATATGCATAAACCAGAAGAATCATGTTTAGATGATATAAAAGATGATATAAAAGACAGTAAAGTATGCACAACTAACTAGAAAACCAGGAAACCATTTCAAGACTGAGAGTACAAATAAATAGTCAATATGAACACAATTTCACATGAAACTGAAACTACAACATGAAAAGATTAGTAGTCCAGGGAATTTAAAATTAAATCACGAGTGAATGAGAGAAAAAGCCAATCAGAAACATGTCACCGGCATGAGCCCCCTAACACTTTTTGATTCTTGTTCCTTGGGAAATAGGTAACAAGAATCATACAGACATGTGGAGTGTGGCTAATGACATTCATATACACACAGCTTGCTGTGCAGATTTATTATTTTATTTGTAGTGCAATTTTCAATAATAAGGTAATTAAAAAAATAAAGTCTAGTGGACTAGACTAAGTGCCTGCTAAAGTAAATGCCTGTTGTGCTATAATAAATGTCTGTCCAATTTAATGCGTGTGGGAACTACCCAGCAATCTTACTGAAGTGGGATTTATGACTGATCCTGTAGATGGAAAGTGGAACCTGGTGTTTTGCATTCTAACAGGCTCACAGGTGAGTTGATGCAGCAGCTCCAGGCTGTTGGTCCATATTTTGAGAAGACATGAGGAGTCTCTGCCTCGGATCCATCTAAGTAGAAGGTAACAGCAGACAGCTGAGTATAGCCAATGGTTTGTAAACCGTCAAGGATATCTGTTTCCTCTTGGTTCTCTGAGGCTGCTGCTCTTTGGAGTTGGACGCAATGAAACTTCCAGCCGGGTCAGGCGGGTTCGTCCTCCTTTGTCTGTTGTTTTTGAATGCTTCTGGACTTGATCTAGGTATAAAAAGAAATATCTTTGGAAGATGTTGACTTAAGGAGACATTTCTGAGGAACCTTTTACCTTCTCTTGCTGATCGTATGACAGTGTTTCCAATTAAGCTTACTTTAAGCTTCAAGTTCCTGTGTTGAGGCTGTGCTTAAGGTCTTTCATTTTATTACACACATTTGTTGGTTTTTCAGGTTCAGTTTCTGTGATTACTGGCTTATTTTGAGAGGTTCGTTTATTCAGTTTACTGTGTGTGTGCAGGTCTGTAGAGGCCAGAGGCCAGCTTTCCGCTAGTCTGTGTTCCTCCTATGCTTGCATACTGGGCTTCTGGTGAATCTTCTGCCCCCACCTTCCTTAAAACATTGTTTTTTTGAGACAGGATGTTGTGAAGTCAACAAAGGGCTTTGTTGCCAGAGGGATGAGCCTGTATTTATGAACCTGAGAAAGGAGGGTACACCACAAAATTAAAATTGCAGATTGAATTATAGTTGCATCTGTTGTACACTGAGGTTCTAGGAACAGGTACACCCCCACTCTGGTTCTGTACTGGGTGACCTTCAGCTAGTTACTTGAAGACCATGCATCTAATTTTGTGTTATACCTTAAAATAAACAATGGTGGGGCTGGTAAGATGGTGTAGTGAGGGAAAGTGCTTGATGCTAAACATGACAACCTGAGTTCAGTCTCTGGGGAACCCATGTGGTGGAAGGGGAAAACTAACTCTTGTAGGCTGTCCTCTGACCCCCACATGTGAGTGACATGTGAGTGCCCTTTTCCCCGTAAATAAAAAAAAATGTACTAAAAGAAGACAAGAGAGTCAGTGACCTGAAAACACCCAAATCTGTCGTAATATTGCTGTACGGGAGATGAAAGACTATCTCTGACTTGCATTAGCGAGGCAGCCTGTTAGCTGTTTCTCATGCTGCTGTGAGATGCTTGCCTGTGGACTTTCTCCTGCGTCTGTAGGGACACCAAAGGCTGCTCCCCACACCTTTACTTGACACTCTGGCCCTCAGATGGGGAAGTTTTGCTGTTCAGGGCAGCGTGGCAGTTTTGACTGTTTCAGTTGGTTGTGACTGGTACATTTGTGGCGGATGTAACCGTTCTACCATGTACAGCCAACAGGGTCACCCCCAAGCATCTACAGCTGAGCAAGCAACCAGGCCCTAGCAGTGGTTCCCAACCTTCTTAATGCTGTTACCCTTTAATACAGTTCCTCATGTTGTGGTGATTCCAAATGTAAAATTACTTTCATTACTATTTCATAAACTTAATTTTGCTATGGCTATGTATGTAAATATCTGATATGCAGATTGTCTTAGGCAACCCCTGTGAAAGGGTCATCCAGTCCCCAAAGGGGTCATTATCCACAGGTTGAGAATCACTGCCCTAGAGGGTTTTGCTTCTGCTTTGAAGTGCTTTAAAACAAACATTTTGAAATCTCCCTTTCCTTTCAAAACTAGCTTCAACAACAGTCATTTTCCACACCCTCTTGGTTTCTGATACCCGAAGGCAGTCATTTACTGTAAGTTGTCCCTAACAAACCTGATGCACCCACTATTGCTTTTTTTCATGACCACACTTGGTATCTCTAGGGAGGGTAGAGTTGTTATCCTAGTAGGGCTGGGTACTCTCAGTTCTGTTTGATTGTTCCTCATTCTGAGGCTCTCCCATCGCAAGGTACTTTTCCTTTTGCCATATGAGTCTAATATTTCTACACAAGATGGAAATGGTTTTGTATGGCTGAAGTCTGGGTTGGGGAATAAATATTTTTTAGTCAGATTAGCACTAGAAAACTCATGAGTAAAATAGGTTTAAAACTCCCTGCTCCAATGGTACTACCAATATATTTTATTTTGTTAAATAATCACGCTTTTCCTGATCTTTCATGCCTGGTACACACAAAGGTAGTCCTTCCTCTAGACTAGAAAAGACAAATGTTATAAAAATTAAACAAATGGCTGTGTGCAATGATTGTCCCCATCTGTTCTTCATAACTTTTTACCTGCTTCTGTTATATTTCTTAGCCATCTTGCATTTTAGATGTACTAAAATAAATGTGAGAGATGGCTCAGGGTCTTACTAATGTATGTGAAGTAATTAAGCAGGGCAGGAATGCCCAGGTGATGCTCCACACATCTGTCTTTGGTTAGCAAGCCTTGAGTAAATTACTTAGTCATTAAAAGAAAATAGGTTACCCGTGTGAATGGAAAAATAATTATGGTGTCCTAGTTCTCATGTTTTCACATTAAGATAGGGCCCTTCTCCAGATTTGACAGGATTTGTGAATTATTTAATGTTTTGACCACCCCATTTTCATTTGAGAAAGGAATAAATTACCTGAACTGTCCATGAATCTTCTTGTACTCAGAAGAAAATAAGCTGTGTTGACCCAGCAACTGCTGCATTGACAGAGTGTGAGTGAAAAGCACACTTGTAGGATGTTTTTCCCAAGAATGATAGCTAGCCTGTCCATGAATGGTTTAGTTTCCAAGGTAAATGTGTCCATCATTGAGTTACCTAGTTCATGGCTCTTGAACTAGATAAAAAGAGGAAATAAACATTTAGCAAGATTTAAAGAAAATGTTTTATCTATCCTATCTTTGTGAGTCTAGAGTCTTGCATGTAACTTATCTTTTAACTAAGGAAAACTATAACCATGACTATCTGTCTTCAACTCCATCAGAGACCACAGAAAGATAATATATAAACTCTAGAATTGACAGAGACAATTCACTACCTGGTCAGTCACTCAAAGTTCTTCTGTAATGTTCCATTTTTGGCCCATAGGGCATAGTGTGTCTGGCAGACTCCTCAGCAAAGCAGGAAACTTTAAACTGTCTGCCTGTATTGGCAGTTTGTCAGTCACTTTTTTCTGGTCCTGTAGGATGTCTGGCAGACTCTTCCTGAAACAGAACCCCTGTAGCAATGCCCATCTTGTTACAGCAGTCACTTTTCTGTGGGTCCTGCATGTCCATTTTATACAGCATGAAGTCAAACAGTCCAGATAAGAGCAGTTTCTTGCCCAAATGGCTAGTCTTGCCTTTTTGGAAGCAAACTCTAAACAAGTTTCTTCAATGTCCATCTTACCTTCTGATGCAGTTGGTGTTGCCAGGAACAGTTGTCTCATTGTCAAGAAAAATCCTAAACCATTTAAATGCCATATATTCTGTAGGTCTTTGAAAGGTTTGAAGAATGCCTATTCAACTGAAATATATCTCTATATATCTATAAAACCTAAGTAACCTAACTGTAAGTTTTGACAATTATAGTTAAATATCTACAGTCTGTACTTAATTATACATTACTTGTTAAAATTAACTATACAAACACAAGAGGAGAACTATACATATCACAAAATTGACTTTAAACTTGTATCAATAAATGAAAATCCATTCCAATACTAAGTATTCATTTCTATAGCATAATCTCCCATTTACCTTTAAAAAAGAGATTGGTTGTGATCATGAACCATTTATAACCAACCCCATTTAAATGAAAACAAGCATTTATAAACAATATTTGGGAATGTGGGTATCATTCTCTCTAATCTTCTTCCTGCTGGTTGGGTTGGGGGTAATGTTTATACCATGGGGCTCAGGACAAAACACAGAAACCCAGCCAAGTCCTTGTTTTTATAATCTGTAAGGCTGTATCATCTCAGCTCTTTTAGATGTTGGATCATCTGGGCCACTATTTCAGGGGGTCTTGCATCATCAAACCACATTAGTCTGGAAGGAATCCACACCTTTTTATTTTTTGTGGAAACAAAAGAAGAAACTTTTTTCCCATGCAACCTGTCCTTAGACTTAAATTTTGTAAAATCCCCTTTTAAGTTTTTGTCAAGTTTTTATGTGGAAGTTTGTAAAAACTATGTTGGGCACCATTATGTTACAAGATTCCTGCCTGGTTCCACAGCTGCCTCAGAGCCCCCAAATAACATACTGTTCTTCCAGAGGTCCTGAGTTCAATTCTCAGCAGCCATATGGTGGCTTACAGCCATCTACAATGAGAGCTGATGCCCTCTTCTGGTCTGCAGGCATATGTGCAGGCAGAACACCATTATACATTATGAATAAATAAATAAATAAATAAATAAATCTTAAAGAAACTTCGGGCCCAGTTTAAGTTTTAACATGCTAACTCCTAGGAAAGATAAATATTCCCTTGTTTGCAGACACTTTAATTTGCTTAGGGGTCCTAATTTTAAAAGCTATGTTCTAAAACTAATTTAAAGTGACAATGTCCTTTGATAACTACTGTAGAAGAAAATTCATGGTTTTGAATTTAAGCCACCTCCTTTCCCTCTTCAATGTTTCATCTACGTCTGGAACAGTTGACTGAGCTTGGCAGGCATGGCCTCATTCTCTGGGGCAGTTGGCTGGGAGATTATCACCAAGTACTTCTGTCTCTTTTTCCTCTTAACAGAGAACCTGCCCTCAGAGCATGAGGCATAAACACAGAGCTAGGTGAGTAGAGGTTGATGTCTCTGAAGCCTTGAAACAGAATATGTCTTCCTTCCTTCGAGTATGCTTCCTGTAGTTTATCATGGCAGTAGGAAAGCTGACTAACCGATGAGGCAGTGCAGTTTTCCCCATCTTAGGATATAAGATAAAGAGTGCCGAAACAGCTGGGCTTCAGGAAGAAGACCCTAAAATGTCTCGTCCTGATGTTCAGTCTCCCAGTTCAGGTGACCAGACTGATATTAGGAAGCAATGTGTTTTCAATGCACATGGACATTTAGGGATGAGCCAGGAACATTTCCTTCTCATCTCACCAACTGTTTAACCCTCTTTAATTATCACAGCCATGGCCTTCCTATTAGAGAACTATGTGCTGGTTTAAAGCACACTAAGATGCCTATTTCGACCTATAAAATGTCACCCCATGTGACTTAAAAGCTTTACATGCATTCTGTCCTTTAAACTTTTTACTGTTTACTCAAGTGGGGGCTGCTCTAATGTTCAGGTTACAAATGAGACACTGAGCCCTCAAGTTCCTTTCATGACTTTTCAGCTCTAAATTCAAAGAAAAATCTTAGATCCATTTTATTTCATTTCCTTATGTTTCTTTCTTTTCCCCTAAATCATGCTCTTGCCATTTCTATCTTTTGTGATATTCCTTCTGCACTGGCATTTGTTAAAACAGTACACAGGTGGTGGTTGGTGGTGCAGTGGGAGTAGAGGTGGGGACGTGCTATGTCATTTACCACTGTCCTTTCTATCAACTCCTTGTGACTTCTGTCTAGGTCTACTCTTTCATCTGTCCCTGCACTTGGCTCTGGGCTCAGCTGTCAGCTTTGGCTGCAGAGCTACTGCTGAGCCTCTGCTTGCTTCATAACCATAGTCTCTCATCCCCAAACTGTCCTTCAGTTGTGGAATAATGCTGTCTTCCTCTTTCATGCACTCTGTCCCCACTTATGATCTGGCTTTCAGGACTAGGACCTCACTTTTCATTCGTTTTCTCCCCCACAAACTCTCCACTTCGGCCTCTCTTTATATCACTCAGAATATTGGCAATAACATGGACATAAAAGGTATATATTATGAGATCTTAGCAATGAGGAATAAGGGTCTGGAAACTAGAGTCAAATTTATTATGTAACTGCAAAAAAGTTAGCAAGATTTCATGCATGGGCTGGTTGTGTATTTCATTTGGCAGAGTGCTTGCTTACTGTGCACAGAGCCCAGAAGACTTTCATCCCCAGAACTATGTAAACCAAGCACAATGATGCTTGCTTGTAATCTCAGAACTGGGGAAGGATCAGCCTCAGAAGTTCAAGGTTACCCTTGCCTTCACAGTGAGTCTAAGGTTAGCTTCAACTTTATGAGACCCTATATCATTAAAAGGAGTTATGTTTGTATCCCAGGACTTTATGGATGTGGAATGTTAGAGTATTCCAGCTGCCGTGTGATCATTTTAACAGCAAATAACGAGATCCAAGAGGGAAAGAGCTTAATGTGCCGTTTATAATTGAAAAAAGAAACCAAAGTGGAAAGAGTTAAAAATAGTTACAGAATGGTCAGGCAAAGAATACAAAGCCATGTGTAGTTAAGGGATTGAGATTAGCATAGACAGAGGGGTCCATAGACAATGGGAGAAAAGTCCTAGAAGAATTTCAGAGCTCTTCAAGGTTCCTTTTCCAGGTCCAGATCTCTAAAAGAACAGAATGCTTTGGGGGAGATGGACACAGGATAGTCTCTAAGTGCTCCCTGACATAGTCTCTAGCAAATATTCTAGAATAGCACTGCTCATATGCTTCTTTCACGGCTCAAGTAAGCCTAGGTTAGCCTGCTTCAGAGAAGGTGCAATGTGAAAGGAAGAATTTTCCCTGTCCAGTCCAATCCCACTTGACCAGTTTCTCCTGTCCACAGGGTCCCTGCAGCCACTTATAAGATAACCACTCAGAGAGAGTTCTAGCCTTGGAGCGCTGAAGGCACAGGGCCCCAACCTGAGAGATCCAAAGCCTCAGATGAACCCCTGAAGGGATACAGTGGGTCAAAGCAAGGCTTGGATGGTCATCATTCACCCTAGCACTCCTAGAACATGGGGTGTGGGCTGATGTCATCAGCAGTATCATGGGAGTGAGGAGTAGCCAGAAGTAGGTTATTAATTGAGGACAGAGTTTGAATTCTCTGTTAGTTAATGTTTCTTATCACCGTGGCAAAATACCAGACAAAAGAACTTAGGAAAGTTTTATTTCTTTTCACAATTTGAAAGGCAAATGCCAAAGGAGGTGATGATGACAAGGGCTGCTCTAGCTGTAACAACAGGCTGCTCACACTCTGCAGTCAGGAGGCAGAGAGAGATGAATGCTCATGCTCCACTCATGTTTTCCTTTTCGCTCAGCACAGGGCCTCAGATCGTGGGATGTTGAGTCCTATATTCGCGATTCATCTTCCAAGTTAAGCTTCTATGGAAACTCACGGAGACGCTCAGTTATATCTCACTTCCAGTGTGGTCTCAGATGATTCATTATGTGCATCCACCCTCTGTTTTCTTTCGCAGATTTTCCTTTGCTCTCACTCTGCTATGACATGGTGTGAAGACCCTCAGCAGGTGCCAGTTCTCCGGCACTGGGCCAGCTTCTATGACCAGGAGGCAAATAAACTTTTATTCTTTATAACTCACGCTGCCAGCGGTATTATTTTATACTGTCAGGCAATGGACTGATGTAGCTGGTTAGCTGTGAGGGAATCTGGTTGTCTTTTCTATGCCAGTTTGTCTTCTATCACACGGACTCAGTAGTGTTATCCAGGTCACGGGTTGTCCTGATGTGGAAGGAACAGATGCACATGAAGCAAACTGAACAGCAAGCCGCAGTTGATAGACAGTAACCATAATATATTTAAACTACCGTTGTCTTAATTTATGATGAATGAACTAACCTTGCTTGGCATGAGAGGATTAAAGATTGTCATGCATATAAAATAATTTTAAAAACATCACTGGTGCATTATGTAAACACAGTCCCTTAGTGACCCTGTTCTGTCCCTCCTTCCAACACTATTTCTTCTGCCTGGCTTTACCTTTCATTACATAGCTAGGCCCATTCTTCCCCCATTCTACAATACCTTCCCACCGACCTACCCATATTTTCTGCATCTATTTCTTGCTCTACTAATGTGTGAAGCAACATCTTAGAGTCAGAAGGTGGTGGCTCCTGATACCAGCTTCCTTCTTTATGGGTAAGCCTTAGGGAAGTGGATGGGTGTCAGAGCCCTCAAATGTGGGTATGATTAGCACACCTTCCAGGCAGCCAGCGAAAGCACTTCCACTGGATCAGCTGAGATATTGCACAAGCAAGAGATTCGTTAAACCCCAGGAAGAAGGGGCTGCTGGTTTGGGGGTACAGACTGATGTCTCTTCTGTAGTGAGATGGACTTGAAGGGAAAGGCGTCTGTCAAAGTCTGAAGTCTCCAAGGTAAATCCTACAGGTTCCTTTCCCATAGGAATCCTTTCATTTTTCATCTGCTAAAGGTGCCTCCCTATGATCCTCTTGGGATTACTAAAAGGTTCCTTTTTGGTTGTTCAGTAGAGGTTTGGAATTTTTAGCTGTATGGATGACTGCCCTTAGAATACAGCTTATTACCCTGGTGCCATTTTTGGCATAATACAGCTATTTGGAAAATGTATATATGGACAGACAGATAAACACACACACACACACACACACACACACACACACTTTGGTATATTAAGAGGCTGCCTTTGAGTTTGGTGGCCAGTTCTGGTTATGGGGATTCCTGAAATATGAATTAGGTATGGTGGGACAGTTCCTGCACAGGCTCAGAGGAAGAGTGTAGTTATAACTAGAGGCAGATTTTTACCCTTAGGATCTTTGATCCCTGCCTGGTGGACTTGGGGATGTTATCTAATGCTCTGCTTCTCAGATTCCTCATCTAATCTATAAGATGCAGAGGGTTATAGTGATAATACATGTTCCAATGGATGTTCTGAGAACTGATATGAATAAAACACCCAGAACTTCTACTCAGAGCTGGGGAGGTGAGCTACTTAGTATGATGCTAGGAAGTCTACATTTTCTTGATATTTAAAAAGGCTAATTGATCATATTTTATAGAACACGTTTTGCTTTATTTGAATTTGGAAACTCACATTTGAGTTTTTCTACTCTCCAAACCTTTCTATGGGGTTTTCAGCATGAAAAGACCCAGTGCCTGCTGATGAATTTTCAATTATCCTTAGACATGGCTATTTCTGAAGTATGTATTAACTGACTACCAACTGTGAGAAGTAGAGCAAAGATGATGAGCACACAGAGAGACACAAACAAACACTTGAAAAATTGAAGCTCAGACCCAGGAATGTTAAGGGAATGCTGGGGGGATTCCCAGAGCAGGCAGAAAGGGTTCATCATTCAGACTGGACCAGGACTAGAAGGGGTTTCTTGAAAGTTTGACTCACGGCCTGGAATTTTGTTTGGTAAAAGAGAGGTGCTCTTCAGTCCTATTTGTAGCAGGGAGGGTGAGTTTTCTTTGTGAAGGGAGAAGTTCTAGGGTAGAAAGGGACAGTGCAGGGTATGAATCCTGTCATTCAGGAGAGGAATCTTGATGAACGAACAAAACAAAACTCTCAATTACACTAAAACCTATTATTACAAAGTGATAGAAGGAAGCACTAAGCTTTTGGGTTCTTTCCCATGACAGCCACAAGCAACCTGAAATGGCCTCCCACGGATTTGATAATACAGGACTGGGGACCTCAGCAGGTGGAACCTCACCAGGCAGTCACAAACAAGAGGTGACTGATGGTTCTGCTAATCAGCTCTTGGATGGACCAAGTGATGCTCAAAGAGGAGTACTGCAAGCCCTTGGGGTAGGTCTGCCTGCATCACCAAGTTGGTTTATACAAGAAGGAACAAGATTACATGGATTGCCTCCAAAATTTCTGAGTTATTTCTCACTAAGTCATTGAAGACAAGATGGGGCTAATAGAGACCTGAGGAGTAGAAATGGGAAATCAGTATCTCATAGGGTAGAACATCCTAACAAACTCTGGAGAGTCTATTTCAAGGCTCTTAATTGTTTCTTGGTGTGTTTTGACCACTCAGATAAGGAGTTTGAGTTCTGTGAAGTTCCTCTCTCTCTCCCTTCCCCTCCCCTCCTTTCCTCTCTCCCTCCCGTCCCCTCCCTTCCTTTCCTCTTCCTTTTGTTCTTTCCCTTTATTATGGTCCTGGGGTTGAGACCCAGGTCCTCATGCATGCCAGGAAAACCCTCTATTATTGAGCTACAGCTACATCCCTTTGTGTATTTTCAGGCAGAGTCTTACTAATTCACACAGATTGCACTTGAACTCCTTCTGTACCTCAGACAGATACTTCTGCCTCATTCTCCTGAGTAGCTGGGATTGCAGGCCTGTGTCACCAATGATGGCCATATTCTATATTTTAAATAAGAATACTTTAAAATAAAATTTTAATAGCTGTTTACCTTTGTTATATTATGTTCCTGAACAAAGCCTTCTTAGAACAAGACCTTGCTTGGTTAATTTAGGCTTAGCATTTTAACCATTTAAAGCCATGGTATCTCCTCCTTTCTGGGGAAAATAAAAATAGTATTATGCCTTTAATCTTTTTTCTTCTTCTTACAGGCCATCCAGATCCTGAATGGAATGCTGATTCTGGCTCTGGGTATTTTTTTGGGTTCTTTACAGTATCTGTTCCACCTCTTCAGGCATGTGTTCTTCTTCACCTTCTACACAGGCTATCCATTCTGGGGTGCTGCGTTTGTGAGTATCCATTCCCTTACCACAGACCATCTCAGCACCGCCAGGGTGCTGCAATATGGAAGTGTTCTTTGAAGATCATCAGCTGTGGTTTTGATTTATAATTTCTGACAATAGGAGGCAAAATCATCTTTCTTTCAAATTGAGACCCTTCACTTCATATAATAATTTCCAGCTCCATTCATTTTCCTATGCAAGTTATAACTTCACTTTTCTACATGGCCAAATAAAATTCCATTGTGCGTATGTAACACATTTTATTTATTCATTCATTTGTTGATAGGTATGATGGACATGGCAAGTTTTATCTCCTGGGTGGGACTTAGAATTCTTGGATATGTACACACACACACACACACACACACACACACACACACACACACACACACAGAGAGAGAGAGAGAGAGAGAGAGAGAGAGAGAGAGAGAGAGAGAGAGAGAGAGAGAGAGAGAGAGAGAATCCTATAGGGTTGACTGACTCTATACTCAGGAATATGAAAACTGTATGTTTTCTCTTCTGTGAAGTACCTAGACTTTATTTTTTATGTATGAACCTAAATGTTTGTGTGTATGCATGTGTATATGTGTGTATACATGAGTGTAAGTCATGAAACTAGAGGAAACCAAGAGAAGAGACACGGGTTCTTAAGGGAGTGAAGAGAGACAAAAGATAACAGAATACATGTATCATGAAAGTAGATTGAAGGCTGGTATCACTTCTCAGTCTGATAAAAGACTGCATGTGTTTCCAGTTCACTGTGTGAAGCACAGATTGGATTTGGTATTGCTAATAGGATAAAATTTGATGGAAGAGCTAAACTCTGAAATATTCCTGAATTGTTCTGCACAATAAATCTTGACAACCCAAGTGAAGAATTTCCACTCTGGATTTTATAAAAGACAGAAAGGAAGAGCTTCAGGTGTTCCACAAGCATTGGGTTTTATTTCCTCAGAAAGTGGAAGGGGAGTCAGCTAGATGGCTTAGCAGTCAAGAGCACTGGCTGTTCTCCCAGAGGACCCAGCTTTAATTCCCACATTCACTCTAACTCCAGTTCTAGATCTGATGCCCTAGACATACATGCAGGCAAAACATTCACACACAAAACAAAGTTTAAAAAGCATTCCAGATCCAGTGTCTCATTTGCTTTAGCATCACCCAAAAGATTGGATCATTAATTACTATTCCAGAAGTTTCTCTCTGACTCTAAGACACTTTTAGGGCAAGTCCAAGGTGTATGACCCATTCTCCATATCTGCCCTTGTTTGTAGTCATTAACTCCTGTCCAAGCCATCCCCACTGTGAACATGTCTGTGGTGTGCCCACTGTGCGGTCCTTTCTATTGCTTCATCTTTTTATAATTCTATCAAGGATGTGGTTTTAGAGATTAAAAGTGAACGTTTGCCCTCAGTTTCCTTATTAGAATGCCAGAAATAGCAAGAGGATCCTCTGTTGGGATCTCTGGAATTAAATGAGAGCTATGTGTTAGTGTTAATTGGGATGCTTTCTGTATCCTGGCAAACAAGTACTCCCACAGCTCTCAGGTGATACTGACATGCAGATGTGATGTTATATGGGAAAAGAAGCTGAGGTGAAGAAACAGTGATCTACCCATGAGATGAAGCTGGTATTGGAAACAAAGATGCTCTTTCACAAAGTGCAATGAAGGGAAGACCTGTGATAATCTTTGTTATCTGAGACGGAACTCAATGTCCTGAATTTTCCTTTTTATTCTTCTCTCATACATTATGTCCCAACTATATTTTCCCTTCTCTTCATTTGTCCCAGTGTCCCCCTACTGCCTTTAAATATGCCAACATTTCCCTTAACAAAGAAAGTACAGGCCTCCCAGGGGTATCAACTGAATATGTCATAATAAGTTATAATAAGACTAGGTACAAGCCCTCATATCAAGGCTGGGTGAGGCAACCCAGTAGAAGGAAAAGTGTACCAAGCACAGATAAGAGTCAGAGATAGCCCCATTCCCACTATTAGGAGTACCACAAGAACACCAAGCTACACAATCATAACTTACATGCAGAGGACCTAGCTCAGATCCATACAGGCTCTGTGACTGCTGCTTCAGTCTCTGGGAGCCCCTCTGAGGCCTTCTTAGTTGATTCTGTGGGCTGTGTTTTCCTAGTGTTCCCAAACCTTCTGGCTCCTACAATCCTCCCTTGCCCTTCTTTTGCAGGGTTCCCCTGGCTCTGCTGAGTGTTTGGCTCTGGGTCTCTGCATCTGCTCCTGTCAGTTACTGGATGACACCTCTCTGATGACAATTGGACTAGACTCTGATCTATGAGTACAGTAGAATATCATTAGGAGTCATTTCATTGACTCTCAGAATTCAGTAGTTGAACTTTATTTAGCAAGCCTTTCTTTACAAGATTTCTAAAATCTTACCAATTTAAAATATGAAAAATTTGGATAATCATAAATATATATAAATTTATCAAAATTAGAGTCATGGAAATAATTGTACATTAAAACAATGATCAAAAACTAGAGAATACAGAAGTGGGTATTTGGAGTTATAAATCAGATGCATGGGCAGTGATGTGAGAATTTTAAAAATTTGTATCATTTATATTAACATAAGCAAGAACATAACTAGTTTTCATTATTTATATCCATATATAAACTCATTAAAAGCTACACATAAACAAAATGAAATGATGGTGAATTTACTTAGAATATGAACTACGTAAAAATTTCAGTCATATAAAATAGTGAGTAGTGTGAAATACACTTTTGTGTGAATTTGTGTAACTTCTATTAGACACCTACTGTCAAGGGAATGCTGAAGAGAAAATGGTCAAGACTAAATGTCCCTTTATCTGTCTTACTTCCTATTTTAACAGTTTATCAGTTCAGGATCCTTGACTGTTGCAGCAGGGAGAAAACCCACAAGAATGCTGGTAAGTGTCAATTCTTCCTCTTTGTCTAGAAGACCAGAGGAGTAGAAATAAATTACCCACCAACAGTAGAGAAGCAGAGGTTGGTGAATCCAGTCGAGGAACCAAGTCTCATTTAAGGCATAAGAAAATAAATTTCTTCAAGCAGTCAATGGTAGATAATTCAGAAAATCAGATTATTCTGAATAGCTAGTGAGTATAAAGCTTAGAATCAGGCTTTTTGATGTTCATTCGGCTTAACAAATTATTTTTAGTGAATTATCTTTCATTATTACCTTCAAAACTGAAAGCAAAAAAAATCTATTCATTCATTCATTCGGTTGTTTGTTTTTCAAGGCAGGGTTTCTCTGTATAGTCCTGGCTGTCCTGGAACTAGCTCTGTAGACCAGGCTGGCCTCAAACTCATAAAGATCTGCCTGCCTCTGCCTCCCAAATGCTGGGAATAAAGGTGTATGCCACCACTGTCCGGTTCTTTTAATTATTCATTACAACATTACTGACTATTGTGTGTTCTTTGCATTATCTAGCCATTTAACCCCCGTCTGGTTTCCCTCCTCCCATCATAGCTGTTTGATCATAGTATTCCACCCTCAAACACCAGTCTTTTTCTCTCCTTCCCACTCCATGACGGTCTTGCTCCCTTCTCAGAAACTGAAGCTGTGGAGAGACTTTCAGACATACATACACATTATGACATGTTGTGTGCACTAGATCACCCCAGTGTGTTTCCCTCCAGCCCTTTACCATGGAGGAACTCTTTAAAGTTAATCTCCCTACTTGGGTGTGGTAGACCCTGTCCTTTTCCACTATATAGATTCATGACTCCAATTTGTTCTTATTAGGCCCTTTAAATTAGTATATAAGCACATTACTATCTGTCTGTCTGCCTTTCTGTCTACCTACCAACCTACCTACATATCTCTTGGCATTATTTTGTTGTTGAATAGTCTTTTTGTATAATGTCAAGATCTATCACTTGGATTGGTTTATTAAAAAGCTGAACTTGGCTAAATTTGGGAGCCAGAGAGGATGCTGGGAAGAAGGGCAGAGTTGCCAGCTAGGCACAAAAAAAGCAGCTTCTTAGTTTCAGGAGGTCCCATTTGTTAATTGTTGATCTCAGTGCCTGTGCCACTGGTGTTATGTTCAGGAAGTGGTCTCCTGTACCAACTGGTTGAAGAGTATCTTCCACTTTCTCTTCTAAAAGTTTCAGTGTGGCTGGATTTATGTTGAGATCTTTGATCCATTTGGACTTAAGTTTTGTACAAGGCGATAAACATGGATCTATCTGCAGTCTTCTGCATGCCAATACCCAGTTATGCCAGCACCATTTGTTGAAGATGCTTTCTTTTTTCCATTGTATAGTTTTAGCTTCTTTGTCAACAATCAAGTGTTCATAGGTGTGTGGGTTAAAATCAGGGTTTTCAATTCAGTTCCATTGGTCTACCTGCCTATTTTTGTGCCAATACCAAGCTGTTTTCAGGACTATAGCTCTATAATAGAGCTTGAAGTCAGGGTTGGTGATGCCTCCAGATGTTTCTTTGTTGTATAGGGTTGTTTTGGCTATCCTGAGCCTCTTGTTTTTCCATATAAAGTTGATTGTTGTTCTTTCAAGGTCTGTGAAGAATTGTGTCAGAATTTTGATAGGGATTGCATTGAATCTGTAGACTGGTTTTGGCAAGATTGGCATTTTTATTATGTTGATCCTACCAATCCAAAAGCATGGGAGATCTTTCCATTTTCTGGTATCCTCTTTGATTTCTTTCTTTAAAGACTCAAAGTTCTTGATATACAGGTCTTTCACTTCCTTGGTTAACATGATCCCCAGATATTTGATGCTGTTTATGGCTATTGTAAAGGGTGATGTTTCTCTGATTTCTTTCTCAGCCATTTCATCATCTGTATATAATAGGGCCACTGATTTTTTTGAGTTAACCTTGTATCCTGCCACATTGCTGAAGGTGTTTATCAGCTGTAGGATTTCCCTTGCAGAGTTTTTCAGGTCACTTATGTAAACTATCATATCATCTGCAAATAGTGAAATTTGACTTCTTCTTTTCCTATTTGCATCCCCTTTATCTCCTTTTGTTGTCTTATTGCTGTAGCTAGAACTTCAAGTACAATATTGAAGAGATATGGAGGGAGTGGACAGCCTTGTCTTGTTCCTGATTTTAGAGGAATTGCTTTGAGTTTCTCTCCATTTCGTTTGATGTTAGCTGTTGGTTTCACTGTATATTGCTTTTATTATATTCAGGTATGTTCCTGTTATCTCTGATCTCTCTAGGACCTTTATCATGAAGGGGTGCTGGATTTTGTCAAAGGCTTTTTCAGCATTTAGTGAGATGATCATGTGGTTTTTCTTTCCCAGTTTGTTTATATAGTGGATTACATTGATGGATTTTCTAATGTTGAACCACCCCTGCATTCCTGGGACGAAGCCTACTTGATCATGGTGGATGATTTTTCTGATGTATTCTTGAATCCGGTTTGCTAGTATTTTATTGAGTATTTTTGCATTGATGTTCATGAGGGAAATTGGTCTATAGTTCTCTTTCTTAGTTGTGTGTTTGTGTGGCTTGGGTATCAAGGTAATTGTAGCCTCGTAGAAAGAGTTTGGCAGTGAGCCTCCTGCTTCTATTGTGTGGAATACTTTGAGGAGTATTGGAATTAGCTCTTCTTTTAATTTCTGGTAGAATTCTGCACTGAAGCCATCTGGGTCTGGGCTTTTTTTGGTTGGGAGACTTTTGGTGACTGCTTCTACTTCATTAAGGGTTATAGGTCTGTTTAGATTGTTTATCTGTTCTTGATTTCTTAATTTAGTTTTGGCAAGTGGTATCTATCCAGGAAATTGTCCATTTCCTTTAAATTTTTTAAATTTGTGGAGTACAGATTTTCAAAGTATGCCCTGATGATTCTCTGGATTTCCTCAGAGTCTTTTGTTATATCCTCTTTTCCATTTCTGATTTTGTTATTTAGCATGCTCTCTCTCTGTGTTTTGGTTAGTTTGGACGGAGCTTTGTCTATTTTGTTGATTTTCTCAAAGAACCAACTCTTTGTTTCATTGATTCTTCTCAATGTTTTCCTGGTTTCTACTTGATTGATTTCAGCCCTCAATTTGATTATTTCCTGGCATCTTCTCCTCCTGGATGAGTTTGCTTCTTTTTGTTCTAGAACGTTCAGCTGTGCTATTAATTCTCTAGTATGACTGTTCTCCAGTTTCTTCATGTGGACACTTAGTGCTATGAACTTTCCTCTCAGCACTGCTTTTAGAGTGTCCTGTAAGCTTCGGTATGTTGTGTCTTCATTCTCATTGAATTCCAGGAAGCCTTTAATTTCTTTTTTTATTTCTTCCTTTACCCAGGGATCATGCAATTGTGCATTGTTCAATTTTCATGATTTTGTAGGTTTTCTGAGATTTGTGTTATTGTTGAATTCTAATTTTAATCCATGGTGGTCTGATAAGATACAGGGGGTTATTCCAATTTTTGTATCTGTGAAGATTTGCTATGTTTCCTATTATGTGGTCAATTTTAGAGAAGGTTCCATGTGGTGACGAGAAGAAGGTATATCCCTTTGTGTTTGGGTGAAATATTCTATAGATGTCAGTTAAACCTAATTGGGTCATAACTTCTATTAGTTCTTTTGTTTCTTTGTTAAGTTTCTGTCTGGAGGTCCTGTCCAGTGGTGAAAATGGATTGTTGAAGTCTCCTACTACTAGTGTGTGAGATTTTGTGTGCATTTTGAGCTTTAGTAATGTTTCTTTCATGAATGTGGGTACCTTTGTTTTTGGGGCATAGATGTTCAAAATTGAGACTTCATCTTAATGGACTTTTCCTTTGAATATGAAATGTCCTTCTTCATCTCTTTTGATTGATTTTAATTTGAAGTCTAGTGTGTTAGATATTAGGATTGCTACACCTGCTTGTTTCTTGCATCTGTTTGATTGGAAAATCTTTTCCCAACCCTTTACTCTGAGGTAATGTCTCTCTTTGACATTAAGATGTGTTTCTTGTATACAGGAGAAGGATAGGTTCTGTCTTCGTATCCATTCTGCTAGTCTGTGTTGTTTTATAGGCAGGTTGAGACCATTGATATTGATATTAATGACCATTGATTGATGATTCTTGTTTGTGCTTGATTTATTGGTAGTGGTGTTATTGTGTTTAGGTTCTCCCCCCTTTTTCTTTTGGTGTTTGGTAAAGTAGGATTATCTATTGCCTGTGTCTTTGTGAGTGTAGTTATCTTCATTGGGTCTATGTTTTCTTTCCAGCACTTTCTATAGAGCTGGATTCATGGATATGTATTGTTTAAATCTGGCTTTGTCATGGAATATTTTGTTTTCTCCATCTATGGTAATTGAAAGCTTAGCTGGATATAGAAGTCTGGACTAGCATCATTGTTCCCTTAGCGTTTGTAGGACATCTGTCCAGGAACTTCTGGCTTTCATAGTTTCCATTGAGAAGTCAGGTGTAATTCAGATAGGTCTGCCTTTATATGTTACTTGGCCTTTTTCTTTAGCTGCTCTTAACATTTCTCTTTATTCTGTAGATTTGATGTTTTGATTATTATATGACAAGGTGACTTCTTTTTCTGGTCCAGCCTATTTGGTGTTCTGTAGCATTCTTGTATTTTTATAGGCATATCCTTCTTTAGGTTAGGGAAGTTTTCTTCTATGATTTTGTTGAATATGTTTTCTGTACCTTTGAGCTGTATTTCTTCGCCTTCTTCTATACCTATTATTCTCAGGTTTGGCTTCTTCACAGTGTCCCATATTTCATGGATATTTTGTGTTAGGGATTTGTTGGTTTTGAGATTTTCTTTGGTTGACGACTGTATATCCTCTAATGAGTCTTCAACAATGGAGTTCTCTCTTCTATCTCTTGTATTCTATTGGTGATACTTGCATCTGTAGTTCCTGATCATTTACCCAGCTTTTCTATTTCCAGCATCCCCTCATTTTATGTTTTCTTCATTGTTTATATTTCAACTTTCAATCCTTCAACTGTTTTGAGGTATTTCCTTCATTTGTTTGGTTGTTTTTCTTGGTCCTCTTTAGATTCTTTGAGAGACTTGTTTATTTATTGAATTTTTCCCCATTTCATGGATTTTTTTGTTTGTTTTTTCTTCTATTTCTTTAAGGTATTTCCTTGTTTCCTCTTTGACGGTCTCTATAATCTTCATAAAATAATATTTAAGGTCTGTCTTCTCTGCTTCGTCTATGTAGTGCTTATCAGGTCTTGCTGGCATTGGTTCTCTAGATTCTGGTGGAGTCATGTTGGTCTTTCTACTGCTGAGTGAGCTCTTATTCTGTCTTCTTCCCATCTCTTCTTCCAATGGGTTCTTTCTGTCTCCACTGCTCTCCTTCCTTCCTGAAGCTGAAGCTGGGGACGCTGACACTGAAGCTGAAGCTGAAGCTGGGGTCACTGGAGGTTGGGGCTTGGAAGGGCTGATGGCCTTTCCTGTGTGGGCGGGTCTTCTGGATGCCAGGACCAGGCCCCAGGAAGATTAAGGGGATGGGTGTTGGGCAGGGGGTGGGAAGTGGCCCCTGGAGACCCAGGCTCACCTGAATCTGGGGTCACCAGAGTTTGGGGCCAGAAGACCTCCTGTTCTTAATACAGACAAAGTGCCCCTTTTTAGGCTATTGACCTATCACCTCTTTGCACAAAATCACCCAACAATTTTGTGTTTTTCTCAGAATTAGCACTAAGGACTTTTTCCATGAATTACAGGGCTTTGCATCTCTCTCTCTGTTAATTCTGACTTAGTTTCCTAATCTTATCCACTTTGGCTCCCTTGCTTCCTGGGTACACTGTGGCCTCAGGGACTTTAAACTGATTTCTTTACCCAGCCTTCCTCTGGGCCATCTGGGGGAAATGCTCAATTATTTATTCCTGTCTACATATGTTATTACTATTTCATATTACAATCCTCCCCTCCTTTCACTATGTTTCCATTCTTGTTATACCATTCTATTAGCCTCAACACGAAGTTAAATATGACATAATTTATATGCTAGTGTGTTTATTATTTTCTTTAAATGAGATGTGGTCTCATGTGTTACAGGGTGGCTTTGGATTTTAATCTCAGCTATCACAGAGTGCTGGAGTTGCAGGCATCCTCAATGACATCCAGTTGATGTAGTTCTAAAGACTGATCCTAGGGTTTCATGTATGTTAGGCAAGCATTCTACCAACTGAACTGCGTACCCCACCCTCTTCATTGTCTTTGTTCATGGAGCTTGCTTTGCAGCTAGAATGCTGTTGGGAGTGTAGATAACTTCTTTAAATGGAATGTTGCCAAGGTGTTAAAGGATGTTCTATATACATTAATGGGCTATTTTTTTTTGTTTTAGATGCAGAACAGTTTTGGGATGAACATTGCCAGTGCAACAATTGCGATTGTTGGGACTGTCTTTCTCTGTATACATTTGGCACTCAATACCCAGGAGTTCAAGATTTGCCAGTCTGACTTATGCCTTTCCCTGGGTTCTTCATCAAATGTATGTTTTTCCCTTAATATATGTTTTTATTTAAATTAGAAACATGAATGCTTCACATGTCAATCCTAGATCCCTCTCCCACCCATCCTCCTTGTCCCTCCACTAGCCTCCCCAGTCCCCCCCCCCATCCCCACATCATTCCCCAGGGAGGGTGAGGCCCTTCTTGGGGGGATCTCTAGAGTCTTTCATTTCATTCAGGGCAGGACTTACGTCCTTCCCCATGTGCTCAGGCTGAGAGAGCATCCCTCAATGTGGAATGGGCTCTCAAAGTTCATTCGTATGCCATGGAAAACACTGCTCTACTACCCAAACCCAAGTGATTTATATGGCCTCCTCCCTGGCACTACATTCATGGAGTCTGGATCAGTCCCCTATCGGCCTCTCAGCCATCAGTCTGGGATTCAAGAGCTCCCCCTTATCTGGTCAGCTGTCTTTGTGGGTTTCACCATCATGGTCTTGACCTCTTTGCTCATCACTCCTCCATCTCTGGTACTAGGTTCCAGGAGTTCAGTTCAGTGTTTAGCTGTGGGTATCTGTCTCTGCTTCCATCAGACCATGGATGAAGGTTCAAGGATGGTGTATAGGGTAGTCATTAACCCTATCATCAAGGAGGGGCTATTAATGTAGTCTCTCCACTATTGCTTAGTTTGCCAGTTGGTGTTATCCTTGTAGATCTCTGGAAATCTCAGTAGTGTCAGCTCTCTCCTCAAGCCTAAAATGACTCAATCTCTCATCCTGCTCTCCTCTATTCTTACCCTGACTCAACTTTCCTGCTCCCCCATGCCCTTTTCTCCCCTCCTCTTATCCCCCTTTTTTTCCTGGTTCCCTCTCCCCTCCCCCAATGTTCCCAATCTGCTCAGGAGAGTTTGCCTCATTCTACTTCTCTGGAGTATCATACATCTCTCTTGGGAAACTCCCAGTTTCCCAGACTCATGGAAATGATAGAGACCCTTAAAGAGGATATGAGAAAATCCATTGAAGAAACAGAAGAAAAAACAAGCCAAAAATGCAAGAAATGGAGCAAAAGACAAAACAAAAATTGCAAGAAACAATTCAAGAGATGGAAGAGAGAATCTCTGGTGTTGAAGATACACTAGGAGAATTAGATTCATTGACCAAAGAAAATTTTAAGTCCAACAAACGCCTAACACAAAATATTCAGGAAATATGGGACACTGTGCAAAGACCAAACTTAAGAATAATAGGAATAGAAGAAGGTGAAGAAACCCACCTCAAAGGGCCAGAAAACACATTGAACAAAATAATACAAGAAAACTTTCCCAACCTAAAGAAAGACATGCCAATGAAGGTGCAAGAAGCTTACAGAACACCAAATAGAGTGGACCCCAAAAATCCCTGCGACACATAATAATCAAGACCCCAAACATGCAGAATAAAGAAAGAATATTAAGAGCAGCTGGGGAAAAAGGCCAAGTTACATATAAAGGCAAACATATCAGAATTACACCTGACTTCTCCATGGAAACTATGAAAGCCAGAAAGTCCTGGATAGATATTCTATCAATATTAAGAGACCATGGATGCCAGCCAAGACTATTATACCCAGCAAAGCTTTCAATCAATATAGGTGGAGAAAACAAGATATTTCATGACAAAACCAGATTTAAACAATACATATCCACTAATCCAGCCCTACAGAAAATTCTGGAAGGAAAACTCCAACCCAAGGAAGTTAACTACAACCAGAAAAACATAGGCAATAGATAATCCCACTTTACCAACAGGCAAAAGAAAAAGTGGTGGAAATCCACACATAATTCCACCACCACCAACCATTCCAAATCAAAGAAGAATGAGCTACCAGTGGTCATTAATTTCCCTCAATATTAATGGTCTTAACTTGCCTATAAAAAGACACAGGTTAACAGAATGGATTCAAAGACAGAATCCATCCTTCTGCTGCATACAAGAAACACACCCCAGCTTCAAAGACAGACATTATTTCAGAGTTAAGGGTTAGGAAAAGATTTTCCAATCAAATGGACCCAATAAATAAGTGGGGTTAGCAATCCTAATATCTAACAAATTGGACTTTAAACTAAAATCAATCTAAAGAGATGAAGGAGGCCACTTCATACTCATCACAGGAGAAATCAACCAAGATGAAGTCTCAATTTTAATCACTTAAATTTATATTTATCTGTATCTATTTTTCCATATTAAGTGATATTTTTCCCTCCATAGAATTTTTCCCGCCATTGAAATTTAATTGTTTTTCTTTCAGGTGCTCAGCAATAATGTAAAGAAAATTTGTGTAGTAATATATTATGGTTCTCCCATAATTGTATTTTTGTCTTTGTCCTAATGTAGATGCCTAACCCCTCCCCTCTTAAATCCTGTTGGTGTAATCATGAAGGGATTATTTTTGTTCATTTTACTAAACTGTATTACTTTCTGTAATTTTATTATATTGATGTATTAGTGGTAGTGTCAGAATTTTCTCCTATTGATTTCTTTTCCCCTTGACTAGTTCACATAGGTCAATCTAGCAATAACATATATCTTTCTCCCAGGACAGTATTTGCATGATTTTGTATCGATACTGGGTCTCTCTTCAGAATTTGTGTGTCTTAACTTCTGTCTAATTTGTGTCTCACTCCGTTCCCCTCTGTGGGTTTTGCACTCTAGTTTCTTGCTGACAGTTTTCCCTCTGAATGCTTTCCCTGATTTGATCTGAGGCATCTTTTCCCCAGGGCCTGGTGTCTCTAATGCTGATCCTCACCCTGCTGGAGCTGCCCGTGACCATTTTCATCTCAGTCATGTGGTGTATAGGAAATGTTTATGGTTCAAGAGAGGTGAGTTTGTGTAAGTGATGAGCAAGTTCTATCATCTGCAAATTCCACAACGTATGAAGTTATTCCTGACTTTTAGGACAAGAAACTTTTATATGGTTATGACTTGTGGGGTTCTGGGAATTATTTATCAGATCCAAGTGTGAGATGAAGCAGGGGTGGAAATTATTCAAATTTGAAAATGCAAGCTATATATTAATTTACATTTTAATTCATTTATATTAATTTAAATTATAGTAAGTTTTTGTTTTTGAGTTGTGTGACTCAGGATGACCACACATTTTTTTTGCTAGATATTTAGATCTCTAATTTGCTTTCTTAAAATTTTCCACTTTCAATTTCTTTTTGCCCAAGAAAGCTTTATACAGTCCTACATATTTAGGTAAACAAAATAGGTATTCAGGTCAAACATTTATGGATAATAAATAATAAATAAATTTATTTAAAACAATTAGTTGGTATGTCATTTTATCACTTATTAAAGAGCAAAGCAAGGGTGCATATTAATGAAATAAATTGCTTGTTTGTTTTTCCATAATAATTAAATCTTGGCTATATATTAGGTGTTGCAGGATGGAGATCATCTTGTTTCTGACAGTTGATTAATGTTCTGATTTTATTATCGTCAAAGCTGAGAATAGTGCTTTGCATGAACATATGGTAAAAATGACAGAAATATGTTTAGTATGAGTATGGCCATTTTGAAAACTTCTGGAAATTCTATCCTAATCCTGCATCAAAATTCATTCAACAACGTTTTATGAAATAAGTCAGCAATCCAAACAACAATTTTTAAGATCAAACATTCTAACATAAAACAACCCAAATGAATGCTGTTTAGATGCTTACGTGCTAAGGAAGAACAGTAGAAAAATATCGCAGCTATTTATTTTCTATAATTACACCACTATGCTTTTATGAGAGAAGTTGATGACATCCATAACATACAAAGAGCATCTAAACTGAGCAGCACCCACTGGTGTTCTGTGGTGTGGCAGCAGCATGCTGTGTGTTCAGAGCCAAGTCTGCAGTGAAGGCATGCAGCTCAATAGGGGCAGGCATGGCCAGAAACACATTGCCTAGGTTATGGATTTGATTTTTATTGACTCCCCCTGTACAATCTCCACATTGAGTTCTAGAAACCACATATGGAGCAGAAACCTAAAGAAATGGAAATAAAATGTTTTGATTGTCTCCTGATCCATATAATCATTATTCAGTGTTTAACAGGGTAATCATCAGTGAAGGAATGAATATCTGTGCATCTGTTGTAGTGATCATGGTGGTAATAAGAAAGGATGAAATAGAGAGGGGAGATGATGATCCTCTTCTTGAGAACTGATGTCTCATTTTCTAGGCAATTTCTTCACCTCCTAAGTCTGCAGAATCGGGAATACTCCCTGGTGGAAGTGATTCTGAGAACTCAAACACTCAGCCTCAAGTCACCGCAGAGTGAGAACTTCACTTGAGAACTCAGAAGAGCACGATGAGACGAAATGCAATCCTTCTGTCATGGAAGAAATCTAGGCACCTGCTCCAATTCTTTCCTCCATCCCTGTAAATCCAATAGCATGTTCTAGATCTGGATGAATAAATATATTTCCTTTGACATTCTTGGATTTGTAACTCTTATGGTCCTCCTTAAAAAGCTGTTCCCAGAAACGGAATCTCTTTTTTCTCCCACTCTATTACTTTGTGAGGTTTAAGAAAGAAAGAAGATAATACTTAATTTCCTCCCTCCCTCTCTCCCTCCCTCCCTCCCTCCCTCCTTCCCTCCCTCCCTCCCTCCTTCACTCCCTCCCTCCCTCCCTCCATTCCTCCCTCCTTCCCTCCATCCCTCTCCTCTCTCTCTCCTTTCTTCTCTCTCTCTCTCTCTCTCTCTCTCTCTCTCTCTCTCTCTCTCTCTCTCTCTCTCTTTCGTAGTGGCTCATGTCCTGTAGGGTTGGCTTCCAACAACCTATGTACAAGTCTGGCTTTGAACTACTAATTTTCCTATCTTCATTTCCCAAGTTTCAAGATTAGAGGAACGAACAAGCACACTAAGTTTGATATTTTACACTCACAGTTCTCCTGCCAACTGTTGCGATTACAAACATGAGCCACGACATCCAGCTATAATGACTATTGTTTGCATTTTCCATAAAATCCAAATTCCTACCACCTCATGGGAAAGAGAATGAGCTAGATTTCTTTTTTTTTAGCACAGAGAAATTCCCAATTTTGGCTGACATCAGTATTACAATCTAGCAAATAAAACAAAAACAAACCATTGTGATTAATTTACATTTTACTAGAAGCTTCAGATTCTATTTCCATCAGCTTCTGGGTGTCACAGGTCCTAGGACAATGGTGGTTTGAATCAGTGGCTTTTCTTCAAAAGACCTTGGGAAACTATAAAGTAGAGACGTGAAAAGCAAGGACACATTTGACAGGTCTTGAGTTAAAATTCAGGTTGCATTACCCACTAATACCTCTATGGCCATTTGTCATTATTTATACTTCTGTTATGTTACAGATAATCTACTTCCTTTTATTTGAATATATCTTCAAGCATCCCTTATCAGAACATACTAACACTGTATAAGGACACCGTGATTTCCTCAGTAGCATTCCCTACATCCTGAGTTGACAGCCACCTTCAGTTTTTGGTGGAAGTAACATCACTTGGAGGTCCAGGGATACACTCTGCATGATCTAACTCTATTTAGATACTTACCTTGATGATTGTGTTGGTCGATGATGTCTCCACAGGCATCAATTTGGCTCTAGTGTGGAACCATCTTCAATAAGAAGGGGGCTTTATAACTTTCTAATAAATATATAACTCAAATATAGCTAGAAATGGAAGCCATTAGAAGATAATGACTTAAGGTTGATGAATAATTGAACTGAAGGCTCCAAAGAGAAATTCAGAAAATAGAAATTGAGTTTAATTTAACTACTCCTAGAATTTGCATCTAGAATCTGAAGTTTCTTGAGTTCATGATGCAGGTGTATGCAGGCCAGGGAACAACCCCAGGTATCATGGCTCCTCAGGCACCATCTACCTTTTATTCTCAATATATGATTTATTTAAATTAGAAACATACATGCTTCACATGTCAATCCCAGCTCCCTTTCCCACCCCTCCTCCCTTGTCCCTCTACCAGTCCCCCAGCCCCCGGCCCAATCCTCAGGGAGGGTAAGACCATCCTTGGGGGGATCTCCAGAGTCTGTCATTTCATCCAGGGCAGGACCTAGGCCCTTCCCAATGTGTCCAGGCTGAGAGAGCATCCCTCTATTTGCAATGGGCTCCCAAAGTTCATTCGTATGCCATGGTGAACACTGAACACTACCCAAGGCTCCAGAGATTTCTGAGGCCTCCTCACTGACACTACATTCATAGAGTCTGGATCAGTCCCATGTTGGCCTCTCAGCCATCAGTTTGGGGTTCAAGAGCTCCCCCTTGTCCAGTCAGCTGTCTTTGTGAGTTTCACCAGCATGGTCTTGACCCCTTTGCTCATCACTCCTCTATCTCTGGCACTAGGTTCCAGGGGCACAGTTCAGTGTTTAGCTGTGGGTATCTGTCTCTGATTCCATCAGTCCATCAGTCACTGGATGAAGGTTCTAGGATGGCATATAAAGTAGTCATCAACCTTATCATCAGGGAGGAGCTATTAAGGTAGTCTCTCCACTATTGCTTAGTTTGCCAGTTGGTGTTATCCTTGTAGATCTCTGGAGATCTCACTAGTGTGAGCTCTCTCCTCAAACCTATAATGACTCCATCTATTATGGTATCTCTCATCCTGCTCTCCTCTATTCTTACCCCGACTCAACCTTCCTGCTCCCCCATGTCTTCTTCTACCCTCCTCTTATCCCCCTCTCTTTATCCTGGTTCTCTCTCCCCACCTCCCATGTTCCTAATCTGCTCAGGAGAGTTTGCCTCATTCCACTTCCCTGGAGTATCATGCATCTCTCTTGGGAACCTCCCTGTTTCCCAGACTCACTGGCACTGGGATTGTAGGATGATATTCCCCTGATCCATGCCTAAAGTCCATGTATGAGTGAGTACATACCATGCTTGTCTTTTTGCGACTGGGTTACCTTACTCAGGATGGTTTCTTCTAGTGCCATCCATTTGCCTGCAAATTTCAAGATTCCATTGTTTTTTTCCCACTGAGTAGTACTCCATTGTGTAAATATACCACATTTTCTCTATCCACTCTTCAGTTGTGGGGCATCTAGGTTGCTTCCAGGATCTAGCTATTACAAATAATGTTGCTATGAACATAGTAAAACAGATATCCTTGTTGTGTGAATGGGCATCTTTTGGGTATATACCTAAAAGTGGAATTGCTGGGTCTTGTGGTAGACTGATTACCATTTTCCTGAGGAATCTCCATACTGATTTCTAAAGTTGCTGTATGAATTTGCACTCCCACCAGCAATGGACGAGTGTTCCCCTTTCTCCACATCCTCTCCAGCACAAACTGTCATTGGTGCATTTGACTTTAGGCATTCTTACAGGAGTGAGATGGTATCTCAGGGTTGTTTTGATTTGCATTTCCCTAATGGATAAGGATGTTGAGCACTTTCTTAAGTGTCTCTCAGCCATTTTAGACTCCTCTATTGAGAATTCTCTATTTAGTTTAGACCCTTCACTTTTTAATTGGATCCTTTGGTGCTTTGGAGACTTGCTTCTTGAGTTCTTTGTAAATTTTGGAGATCAGCCCTCTGTCAGATGTGGGGTTAGTGAATATCTTTTCCCATTCTGTGGACCTCCTTTTTGTCTTGTTGACTGTGTCCTTTGCCTTACAGAAGCTTCTTAGTTTCAGGAGGTCCCATTTATTAATTGTCGATCTCAGTGTCTGTGCCACTGGTGTTATGTTCAGGAAGTGGTCTCCTGTAACAACTTGTTGAAGAGTACCTCCCACTTTCTTTTCTAATAGGTTCAGTGTGGCTAGATTTATGTTGAGATCTTCAATCCATTTGGACTTAAGTTTTGTGCATGGTGATAGAGATGGATCTATCTGCAGTCTTCTACATGCCAATTTCCATTTATGCCAGCACCATTTGTTGAAGATGCTATCTTTTCTCCATTGTATAATTTTAGCTTCTTTGTCGAAAACCAGCTGTTCATAGGTTTGTGGCTTAATCTCAGGGTTTTCAATTTGATTCCATTGGTCTATCTGTCTATTTTTGTGCCAATACCAAGGTGTTTTCAGGACTATAGGTCTATAATAGATCTTGAAGTTAGGAATGGTGGTGCCACCAGATGTTGAGTGGTTGAGTAGGGTGGTTTTGGCTATCCTGGGTTTTTTTGTTTTTCCATATAAAGTTGAGAACTGTTCTTTCAAGGTCTGTGAAGAATTGTGCTGGGATTTTGATGGGGATTACATTGAGTCTGTAGATTGCTTTTGGCAGGACTGCCAGTTTTACTACATTGATCTTACCTATCCAAAAGCATGGGAGATCTTTCCATTTCTTGATGCCTTCTTTAATTTCTTTCTTTAAAGTCTCAAAGTTCTTTCGATATAGGTCTTTCACTTGTTTGGTTAGCATTACCCCCAGGTATTTAATGTTGTTTGTGGCAATTGTAAAGGGTGATGTTTCTCTGATTTCTTTCTCAGCCCTCTTATCGTCTGTATATAGTAGGGCTACTGATTTTCTTGAGTTGATCTTGTATCCTGCCACTTTGCAGAAAGTGTTTATCGGCTGTAAGAGTTCCCTGGTAGAGTTTTTTGGGTCACTTATATATACTATCATATCATCTGCAAATAGTGCAAGTTTTACCTCTTCCTCTTGATCTCCTTTTGTTGTCTTATTGCTCAATCTAGAAATTCGAGTACAATATTGAAGAGGTATATGGAGAGGGGACAGCCTTGCCTTGTACCTGACTTTAGAGGAATTGTCTTGAAGTTCTCTACATTTAGTTTGATGTTGGCTGTTGGTTTGCTGTTGATAGCTTTTATGATGCTTAGGTATGTTCCTGTTATCCCAGATATCTCCAAGTCCTTTATCACGAATGGGTGTTGGATTTTGTCAAAGGTTTTTTCAGCATCTAGTGAGATGACCATATGATTTTTGTTTCTCAACTTGTTTATATGGTAGATTACATTGATGAATTTTTCTATGTTGAACCATCCCTGCCTCCCTGGGATGAAGCCTACTTGATCATGGTGGATAAGTTTTCTGACATGTCCTTGGATTTGATTTGCCAGTATTTTTTTTTTTTTGGTTTTTATGAGACAGGGTTTCTCTGTATTGTCGGAGGCTATCGGTCCAGCCCAGCCTCGAACTCACAGAGATCCGCCTGCCTCTGCCTCCCGAGTGCTGGGATTAAAGGCGTGTGCCACCACCGCCCGGCAATTTGCCAGTATTTTATTGAGTATTTTTGCATCAAAGTTCATGAGGGAAACTGGTCTGAAGTTCTCTTTCCTAGTTGTGACTTTGTGTGGTTTGGATATCTATGTTATTGAAGCCTAGTAAAAACAGTTTGGCAAAGACCCTTCTGCTTCTCTTGCTTGGAATACTTTGAGGAGAATTGGTATAATATGTTGTTTGAATTTCTGTTAAAATTCTGCACTGAAGCAGGTTTTGTTTTGTTGGGAGAATTTTGATGACTGCTTC